GTATACCTTGTGAGCATGCTATAGCTTCACTACAAAGACTCGAAATTGCAGAAATCCAGCAAATGGTAAATTTAAAGTTAAGTACAGCGGTGTATCGAAATGCTTATCAAACTGAGACGGTCAATCCTATTCCAACCCTTAGGCATTGGGAAATACCAGTTGAAAGTGTTGTGGTCTTACCTCCACGACAATTCAATTGAACTGTATTGTATGGATCACAACGAATATTAGTTTGTATTCAGTTCTATGTTAACCGTACTTGTAATGGTCTGTTGGCGTTCTTTACTTTTTAATAAAAAAATGTTTACCTTTAAATAAATAATTGTATTCCCATAATTGTAATGTATGGATGACAACGACTAGACAAACAGCTCTGCGGACTGACAAACATTATTGCGGACTGACAAAAAGCTCTGCGGACTGACAACAGCTCTCTGCGGAGTGGAAGGGACTATATATAGTCATGGATGGTCGTTGGATTTTTGGTATAGAGTTATAAATTTTTTTAAATTTAAAATGAGTTCATCTTCAACTTTGTATATTTGCTCGTGCAACGAAGTTGATTGTTTCTATTGTGATCCGATCGACCCTTTTCTTGCCCCATCACCAAATTTAAGAGAGCCGTATATGTCGGAGGATACTTTGCAACAACTACGATGGGCTGAAAAAAAAAAAAAAGATAAAGACTCATCTCGAGCTCTCACTGAACGTCGTGACCTCATTGCGGCGGAGTGCAAAGAGGTTGAGGAAAGGATGACGATTACTAAAAAAAAATCAAAGATCATGAGGAATGGATAAAAAAAACTAAGAAGAATATCAAACTGTCTGAAAAATGGCTTGCTGACAAGGATGCAGAAATGATAGAACTTGGTAGCCAAAAGGACCGTATGGAAGATAAAATAAGAATTAGGGACGACTACATAACAATGGAGAAAGAAAAGTATCCTTTGCAATTCCCTTAAGTTAATTACTGTTGTTGTACGTTTACTATATGTTTCTGGTTTGTTGAATGTATTATCTTCGAGTATTAGTTATTATTCTACTAGTAATTATGCACTAATATAATCATAATATTACCCATCATCTTTAAAATAAACACACCATTTCAAAGTACACAAATTAATGTCCTCTAAAACAAAACATAATTAATTATAAATACAACATCAATCATTCAAATCAAACGTTGAACAATAGTCTTCTCTCTGCGTCCCACTCGTCCAACGCGTCTCTTGTGTCCCGTGCGTCTCTAGCGTCTCCTGAGTCCCTTCTGTCCCTTTCCCTTTCCCTTTTGTGTTACTACCTGATGCCGCACTACTTTTTGTAGCCTTTTTTTGTTTCTTTGGGACCAATGTCGGACAAGTCGCTGCATTATGTGTTGTACTATCACATCTACTACACCTTCTTACTATAGGTTCCTCACCTTGTGACGGGATACGATTTCTGTTTCTCGGTCTACCAGCTTGACGTGTATCCATTATCGGGGGTTTAACAACCATCATCTCAGCAGGAATTTCCCAATCACACGGTTCTGGAAGGGGGTAAACCGGCTCCTCATACGTACTTCGGTACGTTTCCATTTTGTAAGCATCTATAGCCAGATGTCCGAAGTTAGTTTTTTTCAAGTGCTTCAAGACCATTATGACATGACCACAAGGCAACCCAGTTCCTTCCCAATATTTGCATGTACAAGTCTCTTGCCTCAGATCAACTATGCCACCATGTTTGAAATCATGAACTTGATATATTGCATCTGAAACACCAGAAACGGACCATCCTGTCGTACGCTCTTCATTTTTACTAACTACTTTTTCAGCCCACTCGGTTAGCACTGTTGAACGTTTCCCTGTAAAGAAGATATATATAATTAACTTATTATTCGACCTAATTAAAGTCCAAATTAAATTCATACCTCCTTCGATGCGACGCTTGTTACACCATTCCTGTGAAAGACGACGGAAGAACTCAAGAAGGGGTATTATAGGCATCTTCCTTGCATCTACAGATAAAGCATTCATGGACTCTGCACTGTTCGAGGTCATGTAATCGTACCGTTTCGACAGCGAATATGCTCTAGTCCACTTAGCACGGGGAATTTCACTTAGATACGCTGCTACTTGCGGCCTAGTAGAACTAAATCTATACCACAATTCTTCAAAAACATTTCTTTTGTAAGCTTTCACAAGCCTCCAAAACAACACTTTTGTTTTATCATTTTTCCCAAACCTGTGTACTATGTTTCCTAGTAGATGAAAAGCACACAAGCCATGATGAGCATGTGGGAAAACATTTTCAATACTAACCCGAATTGCATCGGCCCTATCAGTTACAAAAGTCAATTCTTGACAATCACCAACACATTCATACAACTTTTCAAGAAACCATGTCCAAGTAAGACCACTCTCTTTTTTGCATATTCCGTGCGCAAGGGGCAGTATCTGGTTGTTCCCATCCATAGCTACTGCATGCAATATGGTTCCCTTAAAATCACCCTTCAAATGGGCACCATCCATAATTATAACTTTACGACAAAAACGTTTGAACGCTCGTATCTGCAAATATTTAAATGGAACACATAAACACTCTATAATTTGTTTAAAAAATTATATATTAAATAACAACAAGTTTTTTGTATTTACCGTGCTCCCAATGGCATAAAAACAACACTCGAAACAATCTTCAGAATCTGTTTGAATATATGCCACTGTACCGGGATTATGCCTCTTCAAATTGTGAAAATAAATAGGAAGTTTGGAAAAACATTCTTCAGAGGATCCCAACAACAGTTCCATAGCATATTGTTTTGCACGCCAAGCTTGTTTGTAATCTACATTGATTTCCAGCAAAGCATTCAAATCCCTTGATATTTCATTAGGCCTCCAAACCTTGGAACGAGTTTTTCCCATAATCTTATGCAATATAGTACCCATCACTTTTTTATTAGCATGCTTATGATTAGGGTGTATTTGTAATGACGAACATGTGTGCACGTTGTTGAAAGTCCTGATTTCAAATTCATCAGTGGGATCAAGGCGTTTTTGCATATAAACGCCAACTACAGTTCTCAATTTCATAATATACCTCATCACGGTTTTTGTTAGAATGTTTGGTCTTAAACTGAAACTTTTCTCTGGTTGCTTTAAGACTCAAAGCAAATATTAGTTGTTGTTTGTTATCATATGTTTGACGAACAAACATATCATCATTTGGACCTAAACTGTGAAATGGTCCGGGTTCAACAATAGGATCAAGACAATCAGGTATGGGAGGCATACCGTAAAATATGTCTGAAGCTTTTTTCCCGTGTGTGAACTCATCTTCTGACCATCCTTCATTTGACTCTTCATCGTCTGACAAAGTTTTGTCAGTCAGTCTTCCAAACTCATATAAATTTTTTTCTTCAACCGTATTCACTGCCACAGTTTCTTCTTATGGACACTCTTCAACATTATCAAATACAACGTTTTCAACATTGTATGGTACAATCTTGTCAACCACTTCTGTCTGTTCGACCAATCCCTGAAACACCTCTAAATACAAATGCACAATCTCCTTCGTTTCAGAAATTACATTTCTGAGTTGATGAACATCTGCTTCGTCTAAAATATTCATAACATACCCATGAACCGGGTGTTGAAATGATAATGATATATTACTATTGAACACATTAGCCTTAATTTTGATCAAATCAAACAATATTCGACGATCAAAATTTGGCGGAAGCAGTAAACCTAAGTTGTTAAACTTTGGTCTAACGTAGGTGTTAATCCCATTACTTATCTGCCAAAAACCCCCAGTACATAAAATAACAAAACTCATACTTTTTTTTTTAAAATGAAATGAATAAGAACTGATCTATTTTGTAGAGATGATCGACCAAATCGACCTAAAAAAATGAAAAACAACAGTTTATATTAAAAAAAACCCCTAAAAACCGTTGCAACCACCACTTCCGAGGAGACATTAATCTCTCCGCGGAGCTCCTCGTCACCTCCTCTGCGGAGGTATTTATGAAGGCCAAACGACTCGCTCCGCGGAGGTATTAATGTATCCGCAGCGGGTGTACGCGGACCATTCTTTTATCGATTCAAAAATCAGAATTGTAGCTTGTCCGCGGAGATGACGTCATTCCACGGAGGTCCGCGGAGGGTCCTCCGCGGAATGTATGTCTATATCTGGAAAAATCGTTTTTTATGACTAAATTTAGAAATTGACCCCCATTTTTTTGTCTATTTATGGTATTTTCCCCACTTTAAAACCGAACCCATTGGTTGGGTATCGGGAAAAAAATCTGAATGCACCTACTGCTACATATTCGTCCGCCAGTGATTTGATATGAAGGACACATTCTGGTGGTTTCTCTCTCCCTTGAGGCATGAAATGGCATAGAATTACAAAAGCTTAGGTAGCAAGCAATGTTGGAGGCAAAGAATGTCATCACTCCTTTTTAGCATTATTGACTTGATAGTTCAAATTATGGCATGTTATAATTTGAATACACTGCCGACAAAGAGTGTGCCTGTTAACGACACTCAAACTTTTAATTATGTGCATAAAATTAAGAGTAAATTACACAAATGGTCCCTATGGTTTGGGGATATTTGCATGTTTGGTCACAAATTTACTTTTTTAAATCGAAAGATCCTTACAGTTTGTTTTTGTTGCACGTTTGGGCCCTGTCTTATCTAAAAAGACTATTTTGTACTTGATTTTTTAATTTATTTAAATAAACAACCTCACATTACCTTACATACCCCAATTTATTTAAATAAATTAAAAAATCAAGGGAAAAATAGTCTTTTTAGGTAAGACATGGACCATGCACAACAAAAACAAACTGTAAGGACCTTCCGAGTTAAAAAAAAAATAAGTTAGGGACCAAACGTACAAATTACCCCAAACCATAGGGACCATTCATGTAATTTACTCTAAAATTAAAGGGATATAGTTGGATAACCAAATGATTTGTTAATATAGATGCTATAAACAAGCAAAACTTAATCTACAAATCGATCAATCATGTAGTCATTATTTCGATTACAATTTATCATACAAATATCTATAATTTCAAAGCAAAAACACCTTTCACAGTTGGGAAAGTATATTCTTCATCTCAAGACGTGGTTTGCACTTAGCTACAAGAGGTTCAGCCTTAGGCAATGTAAGCCCAAGACCTTCGCTCATATCAACCATCTTTTCACTTATTCTTTCCCACTCAAAACACTGAATCAATAACCCTAAAGTCGACCCCATAACCCGTATAGCCAACCCTTCCCCAGGACAACTCCGCCTTCCAGACCCAAATGGCATCAACTTGAACCCGTCTCGTGTCCCTTCTACCCCTTCAAATCTTTCCGGGTCGAATCTTTCCGGGTCGGCCCATATATTCGGGTCATGATGTATGGCCCATTGATTGACAAGTAACATTGTGCCACGTGGGATTTTATAACCCCCAACAATACATTCTTCTGATGACTCGTGTGGGACTAGTAGCGGGCCCGCTGGGTACAATCGTTGGGTCTCGTTTATGATACAACGGAGGTAAGGAAGGTTGATTACGTCTGATTCATCAATAAGTCTGTCTGTACCAATGATTGTATCCATCTCGTTTTGTGCTTTTATTAGGACTTGTGGATTGTTTAGTAGAAGTGACATTGCCCATTCCATTGTTCCTGCTGACGTGTCGGTGCCGGCTGATAGTAGGACCTAATCACCAAAATCATATAATCGAATTGTTTGTCATATGTTTGGTTTAGTTTGTGGATTATGGTGACGGAATTTGATTTCGTCATATTCCTTCAAATTTTGTGGTTGATGGATTTCAACATTTATAGGAAGGGTGGAAGGATTTAATTTTTTTTACTAAAAGTTATGTATATTCAAAATAAATAAATAAATAAACAATTATAAAAGTTATTCAATTATTTATTATTAGATTAGATTGTATTTTTTTATTGCTAACCAAACACCTGAATTAACTCCCCTGCTGTTTTTCATTTAATAATTATGAATCATATCAAGAATATTTTGTGATGGAATCAAATCTTGGGTTCTATTTTAAATTTTTAATCAACCAAAAAGTCTGTATCTAATTATTCTTTTTGCTCAACAAATGACGACAAAACTAATGTAAGATATAAAGACTTTTGAGTACTCGTGTAGGAAGGAGTCAAAAATAAGCTGCTCAATGTTGACAAGAAAGATTAATTTCTATGTTTCCACTTTCCACTTCCACCCACACAAGGAAAATTCATAAGTCAAAAGTTTGACTATCCATGTATACGACTTTAATTTAGCCATGCGTCAAAGTCTCAACCACTACGTACTTTACCTTTTTCACTCGGCGAAAAGCTAATTAAGATTTCTTGAAGATCATCCTTTCTAAAAAAACCCCAAAAGGAAAGATTTGTTTTTTACTAACTTTTAAGTTTTAATAACACTCTAAAAGTTGAACATTTCACTATACAAGTTGAACTCTGACATAACTGTTTTTTTTTTAAACCGCAAATGATTAAACGGTAGCATACTCGAATGTTTCAACGAGCATCCCGGGTTCGAGCTACTTTACAGGGCAAACCCAGCCCTCATAGGGTTTCCAGGGAAAATTTCCCAACCTGTGTCACAAGTTTAAGAGGCAGCCAAACTGGGTATTAAACCCGGTACCTCTGACCCCAAGTGGGTATTAAATCCAGTGCCTCTTCCCAGCTAGGCTGGAAGTCATTGGTGTGACATAACTGTTAATATGTTCTTTTGTACATATAATTTTATGGCTATGTTGTGATTGTTATAAAATGGATTTGAGATAATAAATTAAAACTAAAAATTGGAGCAAAAACGGAAGGAGGATCATACCAGAACGAAGCTTCTGATCATTTCATCAGTGTAGTATTGAGGATCTGATTCTTGTAGAGATAATAGAACTTCAATCATCGTCTTTTTGCTGTTTTCCCCTTTCGATTTTCTAATGTGTTCGATCAAGCCTTGAAAGAACACATCCCTCTTTTCCTTCAACGCATTTAATTTATTCTGCAATCCCTTCAATCCGAACCAACTCAAAAAGGGCAAGTAATCGCCAACATTGGCAGCGCCGGAGAGCAAAAAGGTCTCGCTCAGTATCGCCCTGAACCGTTTCCCTTCTTCCTCCACCTCCGGTATATCGCCGCCGAAATACCTCTTCCCGGAGATCATCCTCATCATCACGTTCAACGTCAGCTCATAGAAAACCGACTTCAGATCCACTGCGGAAGAATGAGAAAGCAGTTTACGGATCAGGAACCTGCCTTCATCTACGCGTACGTCGTGGAACTCGTTGAGGCGATGAATAGATAGAATCTCGATTGAAGCGATGCGGCGGAGGTTGCGCCAGTTCTCGCCGTAGGGCGACCAAACGAGACTGGTGTAGTTGTTGCCGATGATCTTACCGAATAGCATGTGAGGGCGATTGGCGAAGACGATGTCGTTCTTGGTGAAGCATTCTTCGGCGGCAGACGGAGATGAAACCAAAAGGACACGGCGGGATCCGAGGCGGAGGAGGAGGATGGGGTCATACTTAGCGGAGAGTTTGGCAAAGGTTCTGTACAATGGTGGTTTCAAAAGATATAGGTGGCCGATAATGGGGAGGGTTGGGAAGACGGTTGGTGGGAGATTGGAGAATTTGCGACGGAAGTGGGATGTGAAAAGGTAGGAGGCCAGAAGCAGTAGCAAAGAGATGTATAGATACGGAATCTCCATCGTTGGAGATCTTGGTGTATGATTTAATCGCGGGTTTTTGTTTTTGTTTTATAAAGCGCATTGAATGTGAAAGGAAGAAAGGAGCGTTGATTTTTCTTTGGTACAAATAAAGGATGTCTACACTCACGCTACGTTATCTAGAAATCTAGAAGGAAGAAAACAAGGGGAGACTTGGAACTGATCTAAAAAGTCTATGCATTTTGAATTGTTTGTAGAGACAACAAAGTTTGGGAAAAGTATTTAAACTATTTATTTTTGGGCAAATCGACTAAAATAACCATATGTTAACAAAAAAAAAAAATTAAATAACCTTACTTTGTTTATTGTTAGCAAAGTAATCACCAATGTTTTAAAAACCGGTTTGAACCGGTCGGTCGAATCGGTTGGACCAAGAACCAGAGAAGGGAACGGTTCAACTAACATCAGTTTTATGTCTATTTTTGAACCGGAATGAACCGGTCGATTTTTACAAAAAATCGGTTGAACCAGTTAGATTAAATAAAAATACATGGAAATAAATCATTTTCATAACAAACTTTGGATGTTTTTTTCATGTTTATTTAGATTTCTTAGATTAACAACACATGGTAAATGTTATAAAGTTTTGTAATGCGTTTCTATTCATCTAAAACTATATTTTGTTTCCATATTATACTTTATTTTATTTTTGATGTGCGTGGATTGATGTAAAACTTACAATTATGTGTTTTTAATGTATTTGGATTGATCTTCAACTTGTATTTATATGTATTTTTAATGTTTAAACTTGTGGATGTCTATGTGTGTCGGAAAATATGAAAAAAAAAATGAAAATTATAGAAACCGGTTGAACCGACGGTTGAACCGGGAACCGGTCACCATATCGATTCAATTAAAAAACCGGTTTTTAAAACATTGGTAATCACTGCTTCATATGACGACTGACTAGGAGTATAGACAAAGTGGACCACCGTACATCACCAGTGTTGTATATAAGACTTTTTTTTTGATACATCACTATTTAGCGACTACTAGCAACAAATTAAGGATAAGTGATAAATTTTTATTTTGATTAATTTTATAATAATTATCGATTTATTAAGGATTTTTGTCTATGTAAAAAAAATATTTAGGAGCTTATTTTTACTTTTTATACATATTTTTTAAAATGAACAGGCCGTCTCTAGTAAATGGTTAGGGAAATAGACATATTAAGGTAATTAATTTTTCGGTTTGTTTACATCTGGGTAACTATCTTTTTTTTTGTACACGTCTAGGTAACGAACTTTTTGGAAGTGTTCACATATGACCATTATGACCGGCTGTAGCAGGTTACATCCGGTCATAACCGGTTATAATGGTCATATGTGTACACTTCCAATAATGAAACATCCCAAAATTCAATGCCAAAAAATTCATTTTTAATATAAGAAAACACTTCATAACTTTGTCCCAAACATTGAAAACATTTCATTTAAAATAAATATCAGAGTCTAATCCCAAAGATCACATAATGCGGAGTAAAATGGGTAAATGCGTTGCGATCGTTCGGAGCTCCTTTTCTTGAAAACTGAAGGCACCTAAAACCAAAACTGTAAACCGTACGTACGAAGCTTAGTGAGTTCCCCAAATTCCACATACCATATATATCAACTGGGCCATACATGTCATACATACTGTGAGCCATACATATCAATCAAATAAGGTGCTATGTGCCGCACATAGTCTTGTCGTTATGTCACGAGCCGCCACGTGGTCTTTCTTGCCAAGCCTCACTCCTAGAGGAATGCTAAATATCTCATAACTGGCCTCCCGGCCTCACACGACGCACCCATCCATGAAACTTCCACCAACCCTGCAACACTCGTATATGCTAACCATACATAACGATGAACCCTATAGACTTTCGAATACCTGATCCTACCTTAAGCCCTTCATCAAACAAGAACAGGAAATATGGCCAAACCAAACATTGTCAGACTATAAGATCTTAATTATGTACAGTCGTGATGCATACACTAAGCAACTACAATAATGATGTCAATCTCATATAAAGAAAACCCTAGGCTAGCAGGCATCATCTAATTAGGCAATTCTATCATGCAATTCCTGAAGATCCCTAGCCTAGTACTAACATGTTGTTCTAACATATCATAATATTAAATAACCGTATGGTATTTTGGGGCCTACTTACTGGCTCCGGCTGATTGTACACCCTGCATCCTCCTTTGATATTTTGAAAACCTTTTTGAAAAATCATTTTGAAAATCTTTTCCTTGGTTTGAGACTGGATTCACACAAGTGTTCCTCCAATTCACATAAACCAAGGCTCTGATACCAACTTGTAACACCCATAAAAATCAAGCCAAATTTAAACTTTTAAAAACATTTCAAAACCATTCATCATTACAAAACTTGTCTTCAAAATGTATAATATCAGAATATCCTAGAAACATAAACGTAAATATGAGGAGCTGTATGATCACGTCTTTGCCTTCCCGCGATCACCTGATGTGCCTGAAACAATAAACTGAAACTGTAAGCCCGAGGCTTAGTGAGTTCCACAAAAATACCGATACACTGCACATAACACATATACAAATAACAGCATGTACCGGGTCAACAGCTTTACAGACTGGATTACCCCTGGGCCCACAGTATGAGTCTGGATTGCCTTCCGGGCCCACAGCTCACATCTGGATTGCCATCGAGCCCACAGTACGAGTCTGGTATGCCCCACCTGGCCCTCAGCTCATATCTGGAATGCTCCCGAGCCCACAGTATGAGTCTGGCATGCCCCACCTGGCCCTCCGCTCGTATCTGGAATGCTCCCGGGTTTGTTGGTTACCGCACGGAGCAGCATCACCTCAACTCACCCCACATAATATGTCGACATATAACACAACTAATGCGCATACAAGTAATCACATAATAATACAGGTAGTCCTACAGATCTACCTAACTGGCATAGCAACTAGCATGCAACACTATCTCATACTCAACATACTACCAACTGCTAGGATATCATATCCAATGGGCCGACCTTGGTGCCTTAGACCCCTTAGTAAAGTGAGGTAACTCACATCGCAAGTAGTGCTGAAGTACCGAAAAACCCTGATTGCTATCTCACCGGAAATCCCGAACTATCACATAATAAACACCAAGTCAATACACCACATAACAGTCTTGACTAAGGGTCCACACAATCCATCATGTCCATTCTCTTTATTGGGCTAAGGCCCAATGCCAAGTCCATAACCTTAAAAGTCCTTATGCAAAGCCCATTATTGGCCCAATTTACCAAATTGGGCCCAACTTCCTAATTGGGCCTAATTCCAAGATCCATTATCAAAACTTGGCCCAAAACATCATATTCATAAAGTCCAGCAAAGGCCCAAATCCAACTAGTCCATAAACAGCCCAAAAACCCGAAGCCCAAATGTCAAAAGCCCAACAGAGGACTTACGCGGGGCGTACTCCTCTGGTACGCTGGGCGTACTCGTTCTGATATTGACCACCATCGGGGTGGTTGACCCAGTACGCTGGGCGTACTGGATTTATGCTAGGCGTACGTAGAGTTTTGCCAAAATCTTAATAAGTGCTTAATGGCTTAAGCACTTAAGCCCAAACTTCAGATCCAGTGACCAAATGTGTCTAGGCCCCATAAAGTCACGGACTTTATCACTTTGGACGTCCAGAAAGTTCTTAATACTTGATCTTAATCCATTAAGACCTTCCTACTCCATGCATGGGACATCTTAAGCCATTGATACCTCATTTTTATCACTCAAAACTCCTTCAAGAGTCTAGAAGGACAGTTTATTTCGTCCAAATCACATCATGCACCATCTTGGGACCTTTTGGGACAAGAAATGGTTCTTTAAAGCAAAATGGCTAGATCTATACATATATGCATAAAGTTTGAATCTTTTTACCTTCTGGAGCTTCTAGGGCACAAACCAACTTTAGATCTACAAGCTTGATCTTCTTCTCCAAATCCTTGATGCAACACCTTCTTCTTAAAACACTCAATAAGCTCACACACTCAAGGAAATGGCTAGGGTTTGGGGAAAACGACTCTAAGCAGTGGAGGCTGAGGTAAGGGAGGGTTTGGTGCTCATAATGTTGCTTGTATAGTCCCCAAACCCTAAATATTAGGGTTTCATCCTGATATAAGTACGCCCAACGTACACAAGTGTACGCCCAACATACTAAGGCGTACCTTAGTACGCTTAGCGTACTCTTATGTATGCTCAGCGTACTCCTTCTTGACCCAAGGTTGCAACCTTGGCCCTTATACTTGGCTTGGCTCTACACTTCCAACCTCAAGGACTACAAATGACAAAGTAATGATAGAAGAGGGTTTGGAAATACCTGTAAAATCTCGGGATGTTACACCCTGGGTCTTACAGACAAATGCCAACAGCCGCCTCCTGGTCTTCCATGCAAGTATCACAAAGACAATTAACATACATACTACTCTACTTACCTAATGAGCATAAGGTGTATCAGGAGCCACCTCCTGGTCTTTCATACATAGTGCCTAGGGCTAAACCCCGGGTCTTTCTGTCATACATAAGAACATACTGGGTGCCAGGAGCTTCCTCCTGGTCTTTCATACATAGTGCATAGGGCTAACCCCCAGGTCTTCCTGTCATACATAATAACATACTGGGTGCCAGGAGCTACCTCCTGGTCTTTCATACATAGTGCCTAGGGCCAACCCCCGGGTCTTCCTACCAAACATAAACTAAATGGGCCGACATTGTCGCCGTATGTAACGCCCGTAGATCCGGGCTAGTCAATTTAGAGAAAATGAGCATCAAAAATGAGTTTTTGATGGAATATTATTTAGAAGGAGTAATCTTAACCAAGTTTTAGAATATGTCACAAGGGTTCCGTACATATAAAGAATGTCGAAATCCGAGTTATAACGAAAAAGTTATGGCCCGTCGAAGTTTCGCGACAAAATCGGCACGGCACTACGCGATGTAAATAGTGAATTTACGATAGAGGACTTTTTGCCTTAGTGATCTAAACAAAAGTTGTAGTATACGTTAAACCGAGAGCGTGCATAAAAAGAACGCCCAAATCTGACTTCGTATGAGGAAGT